AGAGCGAGGATGCGGCGGCGCTCGCGGATGCTGCTGTGCTTCGCGCTGCTCTGGGTGCTGGGCATCGCCTACTACATGTACTCGGGGGGCGGCTCCGCGCTGGCCGCGGGCGGGGGCGGCGCCGGCAGGAAGGTGAGTGCCTCGAGGCCTGCGCGCCGACCCGGGCCTGCGGCGGGGAGGCTCCGGGCGCGGAGGGTGCTCCCCGGTTCGGGGCGGCAGCCGCGGGGACCCTGGGCCGGATGCGCGAGTCAAGTTTCCTCCGGGCCCTCAGGCTGGCGGTGCGAGCCCCGGCCCTGCGCCGCCTGCCAGGGGCTCTGGCTCCGGCGACTTGCTTCCCGCACGCGGTGCGCGGGCACCCGGAGCCACGTCTTGCGCAAGGATCTTGGGGACTGTTGTCTCGGCGAAGGCGCTGCGCTCCACTCCCCGTGCCGGGATCCTAGAGCTCGCCATCCCGCCGGACTCCCTGTCCCCTGTCCCGCACACTCCGCCCAGCTCGCCCGGGATCCCCACTCCCTGCTCCGGGATCTCGGGGGTCGTTGTCACCCGAGATCCGGTGCTCCCTGAGCCACACTCCGCCCAGCTGGAACGCCCGACCCTCGCATCTTGCTCCGGGATCTTGGGGATCTTGGTCCGGCTAGAACCCCAGTGATCACGAGCGTGATTCCGCCCGATGCCCCTCGCAGCATCCAGGCAGTGAGGACTGACCATGCCCTGCCAGACCTCCCTCCTATTTGCCGCGCTGTCCACCTCGGCCCTTGGCCCCTTACGGCGGCGGGAACTGCCTACCCCATTGCGCTTGCATTTCTCAGCCCCAAGTCCCTCCTCCCCGGATGTTTCTGATGAGTCTGGCGCGGAGGACCGAGTGGTGTGGCCGTGGGAACCACGGGTCTCTTAGAGCCGTCCCGACGGCTTGGGTACCGCGTAGACGCGGACCGTGAAGTCCTAGTTGGTGGTTGGTGCAGTCTGCTCCGGGCCGCTGCATCCCCCTCCGGAGGGGTTTGTGATGTTTTACTAGCTAATGAGCTTCAAAACATAGTTATCTTTTCCCAAGATCTGTAACCCTCCTCACTTGGTGTTGATGACGCTGTGGAAGCGGCGGGAGCTAGGCGATAAGGTCCTGAGTAGGAAGGACTTTCCGTGACTTTACGTCCAGTCAGACCCTGAATGTCAAAGGCGCTTGGCTGATTCCCTTTTCCTTCTGGCATCCTTGAGTTTTTCCTAGCTGTAGTTATGGAGGGAGGGAGGTGGAGGCGTCTTTTTAGTGCTTGGAGGATTTCATGTTTCGTTTATGTTTGCAGTAGTGAAAGTGGAAACAGTGTCAGTGTCTTCCTGTGCTTGGTCTGTGTGGAGTTAGTCGGCACTGACTCTCAGCTCTGCTCTGTGAATGGTTGGTGTGTTGGGAACCCCTGTTAGTTTTTAAGTCCTGAGAACCGTAGTGCCTCTGAGCAGGTGTGGTTTGTACCAACTTGGCTTCCCCAGTAGACTTACCTGGCCTTGGGAATAGCCTGGCTGCTGACAATGCTTTTTCTCATCCACACAAAGAAAAGCAAATTGACAAAGGTCGGACCAGCACAGTGAAAAAAGAAGGCACCTGTGGCCAATGGCCTCCCTGGGGTGTTGCTCTACCTGCTGGTAGCCGGTGTCCCTATTACAGTCCTCTGGATGCCTCTAAGGGGTAAGCTTTAGGTTTGAAGAAAGCCCAAGACCTCCCCTGCAGAAGTGGTGGTGGGGGGAGAGGGGATAGACTGCTATATTCAGATTGAGGGCCTGGGAATTCAGTTGTCAGGGGGCCATAAAACGTAATCCTGGCTCGGAGTATCATGCTTTAGTGATCTGTAGGACGAGGAAGAGGCGTGCTGACAGGTTTTGAAATTTCAGTAGTGCTCTCATTAACGTAGCCAGGTGGAACCCGAGAGAAGCAGAGGGTGCCCCAAAGTCATGGAGTGCCGTCTGGAATCCCTTACTGGGTTTGAACACTAGAAGGCTCCCCACATTTAGTTCATTCTCATGGTAAGGGAAAATGTGTGGTTTGTTTAGCTTGTGCAGCACCGATGCGAAAATAAGAAGCGCGGGGTTATTGAAAGCCTGTTGTCTTTTTAGAGATAAGTAGGCAGCTTTTATTCTTGTGTTTGGTACTGCTCACAGAGAGGCTCTTGTTCCGTCTTCAGTTAGTTTCTTCATGCTGTGGTGTGTTTTTTTTCTGTGGGGTCCCAGGCTTCAGGACTGTGCTTTGGGGATTGTCTGAGAGCATCCTGTTAGGGTTTCTGCTGCTTCAGCAGCCAGACTAGGCTGTGTGCAGTGTGCCCTGCCTGCTAAACAACTCCAGTCAGAACTGCTGTTGCTCTTCCCCAGTTAGCAGAACCCAGAAAGTCAGCTCACCTCACACTACAGATTGAACTGAGGAGTCGAAAACCAGCTGTCAGCATTTGCTGGGAAACCCGGGACTCAGTGCTCTTGGATTCTGTAGTGCTGGGGCTCCTTGGTGAAGCGATTTATGCACGGTGTTTAAAATTGCATTTCATTTGTATAGGTATCTCCCCCTGCCATATTTACTCTTTTCTCCCCAAACTGATGATTTGCACTTCAAGAATGCCTTTCCTTTGAGCATCTTAAATGCTTTCAAATTTTAATCATGTTAAGTTTCCCCGGGGCCCTGGTATGCTGGCAGTGGATGGAGATGCAGAGCAGAGGAGAGGGTTGCTGTTGAAAGGAAGCTGCCTCTGGCTGAATGGAGCGAGGGGAAGGGTTCCCAGCCGGAGAACAGCAGGCGAGCCCAGCTGAGAGGCTGCAGGGCCCCTTGGTGGAGGGCTGAGTGCCCCAGGAGGTGCCCTCTTCCTGGGGCTGCTGTGCTGCACCCTGGCTCTGGCTTCGGGCGCAGGTGTTTGGCATTGAGGATCTTGCAGGGGGCGTTGGGGAGGGCCATCTGGTGGGGATGCGCACAGGACAGCAGTACCTGTAAAAGCAGAGAAGGACTTGGGGCTCCGCTGTCCTGTGGAGAGCTTCCCCTGGCAGGTGGTGCACTGGTTCCCGTGACGGGGAGGGAACCGCTACCACAGGCAGTTAGACACCTGTGGAAGGTGATGGCGTGGTGGCCCCTGATATGGACTCCCGTGGTTTTCTTCCTTTTGCGTAGTGCCCCTTCCCCCTCTGCTCAGCTCCACCTCGAGCTTCTCTCCTCAGGAAGTTGGGAGGTTAGCATCCTTACACCGTGCCTTTTTTTTTTTTTTTTTTTTAAAGGATTGTATGTGGTTAGTAATAGCTGAATGACTGATACAGAATGAAGGAAAGAAAGAAAGAGGCAGAGAAAAATCCTCTGACTCCCGAAAATGGAGTGAGCCAGAATCCTGTGAGGCCTATTTCTGCCAGTTGTGCACCATGGTGTCTTCTTTGCATTTGTCCTGAGGAATCGGTCTTGCAGGGGTTTGCACTGGGACCTTCGGTTCTGTTAATGAGCCATTTACGGGAAAATCCCGGGGACACCCATACCAGCTCTGTACCCAGCTGGGTTGTCATAATGGGTTTTCCAGAAGCCACAGCGGGTGACTGGAGAGTGAAGTTCAAGGTCACCTTTTCTTACATACCATCTTCAAGTCTAGGCCAGCCTGGGCTATATGAGACCCTGCTTCAAAACAGCAGCAGGGACTGTAGTGGAGGTGGGAGGATGGCCAGAGAAAGGCCAGATAAACCTCCTGAAGGTAAGGAAAGTCCCCTGCTCCAGAATTCTGGTGTGGCTGCCTAATGGGGTACAAACACGGGAGAAGCCGGTGGGAAGAAAGGGAGTGATGGGAGCTAGGGGTGGGTGGGTGATTAAGAGGGGTCCATTGTTTGCTGCCTTTTGTATCTAAGGAGGGATGTGAGAAGCGGTTGGGGTTGGGAAAACAGGAATGCTTGTAGCTTCTCTGCTGCTGCTGTCGCCACAGGATGTTAGCCCAAGGCTACTGGGATGCTCCTGCCTAAAGTCTTGGTCAGAGCTGGCTGCTGGGGCACTGAATGGAGGCTCAGGCGGAGGCTAGGAAGGCTGCCAGTGTTTCTGGGGAGGTCTTGGGCAACCTCCTGCAGGCCCAGCTGAATGTCCAGGGAGAGATGTGGGCCTCAGCCAAGCCTGCTCCCTGGGGCATGACATGTTGCTGAGGTTCACTGGCCAGGCAGAGGGGAGTCGTGTATGTAGCCAGGCCAGACAGCAGGGCAGCATTGTCTTAAGCTCCGAGAGCCCCTCAGGCTTGTCTCTCCCTGCCCACCACCCCTATATTTTTGAGATGTCGGTCTCCCTCTTGGCCTCTCTTCCACATTCGGTAGCTTGAACCCTGTCACCCAGTAGGCTTCCTGTGCCCACTACCCTGTCGTGCCAAAACAGGTCTGGCAGGTAGTGAGTTCTGGAGCGCTTACGTCTTATCAGTGTGAAGCCTGGCCTTCACCTGAACAGAAGTGCCTTGTCTGCTCCTCCCACATGGTCTCGGCTCCTTCCTGCTGAGGTCTCTTGATGCAAGAACCCAGTACTGCTGCCCACAAAGGCTGCCCAAGGAGCTTCCAGAACAGGCTGGGCCAGGCAGGCAGCGTTCCTAGCTGGAGGTCTCCGTTACTCTGTGGACCAGAGAAGCTCACCACAGCCTCTCCCAACCCAGGCAGAACTTGACCTTGTTCCCTGTAGATAGGAGGACTCCCTGACCTTTGGCCCCTGACATTCTATTCAGGACTAGGCTCAGAGGTTCTCTTTTGGGATTCCATTCCCTGCCTCACTCTCCAGAGACTACAGGCTCATTTGGAGGGTGGGGTGGAGGGGGTTGGGGAGCCAGGCCTCAACACCAGTCAGCTCCCCTGCTGGGACCTTTTGCTGTTTTATGTTCCTGTGCCTGGAGCTGGTCTGGATCTGCCTAGCCTTCTCCTGACACGGTTTGAACTGTAAAGCTGCCATGTCTACACTTAGTCCTGTCCAGTGTGGGCCTAGGAAGTGTGTGTCACGTACAGAACAGATTGGATTTCTCAGCATGCTCACATACAGACAGCCGTGATTCATCTGGGCTGGGTGTGTTCAAAAACAGGCCCTCTTACTTGAACTCCCATTTGTGGGACTGTGTTTTAGTTTTCGTAGGAGCCGTGTGTCATCCTGAGGCTGGCTGCTACAAAGCTGCAGT